TGTACACACAGAGCATAAAAACCACCGTCATCGTTGTGTGTATGTATGTATGCTGGGCGGCTGTACAGGACAGCAATATTGAATCGGTTGTCTTCTTTATGCTCGTTATCATCATGCATGCTTTTGTGCTGTGTGAAAAGAAGTAGGAAAAGCATATGTATGTGTAGGAGAATTGAAATCTCTCCGCTTTGGCACATTTTGGAGCGTGCGTACACCGTTTGTATAACATTTTCGTGCGATCATCGCATTTAGAATGGGAAAAAAGGTCAGACAAAGTAAGCATGTAATCATAATGGATATTCGTAAGCATCAAAATGAGACAACAAACAAGTGTCCGCATGCTTCACATAAAATGCGTGCGTATGGAGGAAAGAAAAACGACAATAATGTTGTTTTTGTTGTTGCTGCTGTTGCTTCTGCTGCTTTTTTCCGATCATTTTTCTTCACGAAAAGACCAACAAGAAAGGAGAGAGAGAGAGAGAGAGAAAAAAAAAATTGGTTACTTTACAACTTCTGTTAATTCAATGTCATTTCAACGCAATGGCGATAAGAAAGAAAAATGCAAAACTAAGACACCAGATTAATCGTGTCAACGGGCATAATATACATAAAACAGAATCAAACATCGGATATCATCGCCACATCGTTGCGATACCATATAACACTATAGTGCAAGTAGCAATACCAGTAGTAGCAGCAGCAGCATAAAATTGGAAATAGACAAGGATAAAAAATCGACATTCTCCGCATTTTATGCCACTTATGCACTCTTATAAATGCTCTCTCATTCGTTCTCTCTTTCAATCTCTTCATCTCCCTCACTCTTGCTCGCTTTTCGCTGTATATTCGCAGTCTCTTCTTGCTTTTCGCCTTGCCTGTGTGTTTTTCTGTATGGAGAAAAGCCCTGAAACTCTCACTTATGTGCACGTTGTGTACATTGTAAGCTGAAATCAACGCCAAATGGCAAAACATCGAGTCGATTGTCAGTGCCAAAGCATACACTAACAATAACATCGAATCGTATGGCAACAGCAAATACGGTGGAGAGGACAGCGAGAGAGCGCGCGCGAGCTACCATATCAACAGAGCAACAACGATGAGAGCGACAACAACAACAGCAGCAGCAGCAGCAGCAGCAGCAGCAGCAGCAGCAGCAGCAGCAACAACAAGAAGGGCAACGACTACGGCGACGACGACAACACCGACCAGTAAGCATGAACGGCAAAAGCATTGGGCTTTGCAAAAAAAAAAAAATAATAATAAGCGAGCGCACCGAAGAAGAAATTGAATGTGTAATAAAACGCCGAAACGAAATTCAAGAAGGAATTTCTCATCGCTCACACACAGAGGACACACAGGTTCATTCAGTTAACACACAGCACATACAACATCGAAACGATACTCTTTGCCCATATTCTCTCACTCTCTCAGAGCACAGTTGTGCTGCTCGGTGTTCTCTCTCTTTCTGTGTGTGTCTCGTGTCGCCACTCTATACTCACTGCTTTCTCGAAAGCGAAGAATAAACAGCGAAAAATAATCGCATTGTTCTGTATGTAAGCGCGTGTAACCTTTGATTCAGTTTGTCCATGGAAGGCACCTGGTTCGCGTGCAGTTTTGTGCTTCACATTTGACGTGCTCTCGTTTTACTCGGTATATCTCTCGTTACCGTATACAACGGCCGTCGTCATCGTCGGCGGCGTACAGTAAAGTACATACAATACGCAATATATCGTAATCGCTGTAAACTTGAAAAGATAGCAATAAAGTAAAAGCACCAGCTAACTGAAAAAAAAAGAATTTGTTTTGTCGTCATCATTGTGTGTATCTGTTACAAAAAAAACGTATAACACAAGAAAGAAATAAAAAAAAATACCGAACTCGATCAGTGCGCTCGCTACATAACAACAGTTTCCCTGTCGTTTCTTCTTTTTTATTTGATTTTTTTTTCGGTGTATTCCTTCACGTTTTTATTGTTGCTCTTTACTCCAGTGACTTTCTCGTTTGAATTGAATCCGATTTCGGTTGATGTAGTATATGTATTTTTTTTTCCTTGATGATTTGTGTTTTTGTTGTCGTGTAACATATTCTATTCGTTTTTGTTTCTCTTTCACTCAATCTCGCCCTCTCTATCCTACTCTCTGTCGGAATATGTGCAATCAAACTTAAGTTTTCTGTGAATGGTGCAATCGATTATTATTTTCCGAGAGGATAATAAAAACTGATAAAGAAATGTTCCGACAGGGAAAAAGTTACCAATTGCTTACAAAGAAGAAAATAATCACAAAATCGAACGAACGGCACGACATGAAGGATGAGAGGACAGAACAGAAGAAATGAAAATATCATCAACAGCAACAGCAACAACAGCAGCACCAGCAGCAAGACTATAGCCGTCGTACAGTTGAATTAAAGTTACATACTTTTTTTATAGCCTGACATTGAACTGAATGCGACAGCTCTTCAGCCAACTGAAAAGCCAATGAAAAATCTTCGATTCACGTGTCTTAAACTTACTTTCAGTGTTTTCATCTTGTTGAAATGTGAAAAAAAAAGAAATATAAAGACCAAACAAACTTGAAACGAAACAGAGAGAAAAAAAAACCAAATTGAGATTATAACAAACAAATAAAAATCGAGAATAAAAAAGGAATTCCCCGGCGGAAAACGTAAAACAAATGAACGAAGAAAAGTTAAATGCTCCAACGGACCAATCAACAGCCACTTCGACAACAACAACAAACCCAAATCGAACCGTTGAACAAAACAGTTCGATTCACTTTTCCTTCCTCATCAAAGCATATGTAAGAATTCTTTTTTCGAAATAATCATATATTGTGGACAATGACGGGTAAAGAGTGAAGAGAATCGAATTCAGGCCCAAAGTGGAAAGTGGTTGAAGAAATTTTTTTTCCAGAAAAAATAAAAATTGTTGATAGAATAACATCGTTGAGAAAACGCATCGAGAGACCGATCCGTCGACGACTGGATTATGTGTGGCTTCATCACAGTGAGCACGCAGATGTAAAAAACATGATGTGGTAACAAAAAGCGAGTCATAAAATTTTTCCATGAAAATTCAACGAATTTTCCCTTTGAGTCCAATTTGTTGTATTTCGTTTTACTTTTTTGTTGTTGCTGCGTTAAATCAGACAGAGAGTGAACGAAGTGGGTAAATCTATATATATATATATTCCTTATGATCCTTATGTTGTTGGTGGTGTGTATTTGAGTTTTTGCGCTAAATAATTTTTTTTTTATCTTCAAGAGTAGAAAAAATTGAGGATCTCGAAGAGAGAGAGCCTGAGACTTCATTAATCCGGTGGAAATCACATGCAAATAGTTCGCAATATTTGTTGATTTTGTTTTTTTTTTTAAAAAGATGTGTTTATAGGATGTATTTTTGTTACGAGTGTTTTGCGTGAGTATGTTTCGCTTGGTATCCCTTCTTCCTCCTTTTTACATAGATTTTTTTTTTACTCTTTCTGAGTATGTAGTAGTTACTGTCGTTTGCTTTAGCATGACAATACCTCTCTCTTGCTCTCTTTATATCTTTCTTAGTCATACCGGTGGTGCACGGTACACCATTCTGTCTATCATTCATTCCATTTTCAGGTTCGGTCCCATTTTCAGCTGTCCATCCGCAATTTTCGCATTTGTTCCAGCTTAGTTATTTGATTTACTTACGGTTCATGCTTTGTAATATGCGACAGCATAGATGTTTCATTTGACATAACGAATCGCCATACCCACAAAGAAAAATAAAATAAATAAAAAAAGAAAACCTACACACATTTATATACCAATCTTAGTATAACCCATCACCACCACCATCCCCCATTGCTCGGCACTTACTCAAATATGTTTAATAAATATTTACATACTTCTGCCGTGTATGTATTGCGCTTTGGGTAACATCGCATACAGATATATCATTTAGAAACAAGATTTTCCCCATATTCTCGATTTTGATTTTATCCTTTTTTCCTATCGATGTTCCTGATTCGAGTCAAAACGAATTGAGAATTATGTCCGTTTTGTTTTCTTCGCTGCTCGAAATGAGAGTTTCTCATTGGAAATGTACGTATATGCGTTGTGCTCACAGCTTCCAGCACAAGCAATCTAACCTGTTTATCTCTGTGCCGTGCAAACGGGAAATTGAAAGAGAGAACGAAAGTGAAGGCGATAGATAACCGATGAGAATGATGACAGTCGTCGACACCTCTGAATGAAACTCAAGTATCTAGAACCACTTAGCAAAATGTGTCTGAAATTGATTTAACGTTTATTGACATGTATTCTCTCACCAAGCTTTCACAGCACTCGCTCACTCAATCTAACTCTCTCGCTTTCTTTCTGCCTCATTCTCTCTGTTCTCTCTCTCACTTGTCCGCCGCACTTACACCACGCAAGCAAATAATTCAATTGAAAATCCCACGTTTGCAAACCTTAGTCGATGTGGTGAATCAGTCATTCGGTGTACATGTTATGGGCATTGATGCGCCAATCTAAATCGAATTAATGATCAACATGGGCAAGTCACAACGTACCGAATGAATGAAAGAGATGGATTGGACGTGTGTAGATGGAATGAGGCAGGTAGGAAGGGAGGAAGGGGAAAAGAAAGAGAGAGAGAGAGAGAGAGAGAGAGGGAGAAAATTGATGAAGAATCCGAGAGCCGAGGTTAAAGATCGTACATCAACTCTCGCAAAATTTTATAAATTGCCACACACCAAAAACACCAAATGACACATACACAAACATGCATGAAGTGTGAGCGGGAACGAATAATTTTCACCATCTGATGTTATTGGTGTCACGTTCGCATACGAAACGAAACGCAAATAAACGTTTCGTATCAAAATACAATTCAATTAAGTTGATTGCACATTATGGTTGCCAACGCAAAACGCGCGGCTATTTACATGAAAACAAAAGCGACCGCCAACCGAACGAACTGCATGCATGCATATACAACACTCGAATTTAACTCATTTTTCTTTCTTGGATTTTTCGTTCGACTCGCGCTCTCCCGTTCTCGCGCTCTCGCTCACTCGTCGCGTCATATAAATATAAGAATTGGATTGGCGTTATGTCATCGCTCAAAATCGCATTTCATTTAATTTGTGTGCATATAAAACTTGTGCATTTATGATCGAATTATTACGACGAATAAGAGAAAAAAGAGTTCATGTGTAAGAGGCGTGTGTGTGCAAAAAAAAAGTGAAAAGAAACAAAGAGAGAACATAAAGAGCGAACAACAACAACAATGGAGAAGAAAAAAAAGAGTCAACCCAGAGAAACAGCAACAACAATAACACTGTGATTATGTCGTGTGCACAGAGAATAGAGGCAAACCAAATCGACCCATATTTATGATTGATGTCTTGCCGTGTGTTTATTGCTTCGCCGACAACAGGCGAAATGTTCGTGAACCAGAAAATCATATTTCATGCATTGATATATGAACGACAAACAGCACCGCCACTGCCGCCCGCCACCACTGTCGCCGTTCATCGATGAAAATGCCATGCTTGTGAGATGAAAATGCATGTGTTTAAATGATAAATACTGTGTATGTGTGTGTTGTTGAAACCCTGTGCTATGTTGTTAGTCGTCAATTTAACAATATAATTGAAGTAATCGCCATGGTAAATTGTTATTTCACAGGCTTGTCATATGAGAAGTGCAACATTTTATTTTTCAATCTGATTCTCGGCTCTTTCTCTCGCTCGCTCGTTCATTCTCTCAATATGCGAAAGGCATCAGGTACTATTCATTTATCCAGAGAGATAGAGAACGAACGTGTGACAAGATCACACCGAGTGACATCGATTGTTACCTGATGCGTTTCTAAAATGCTCAAAGTGTTACATGGCAACTATCATTTGCTTTGTCCGGGCAAAATGAGTCGCACATCTGCGCAACACACAGACAAAAAGCGACACAGAGAAAGAGAGAGAGAGAAAGAGATCAAAGGAATTAAAATGGAATGTTATCGTTACGACGCAGTTTTCAAAATGAACACATGAAAATTGTATGTTTGAATTTTCTCTAAATCTCCCAACTACAATTTATAACATTATTTTGTGGAATTATGTGAAAAATGTGCTGCTAAGCTCAATTCCGAAGCACCAGTGTAGCAGCTGCATACAGCAAGTTCATGGATGCATTATTGCATTAATACAGCTTTACATCGGAAATTCTCAAATGATCGTAATTCGCAATTTCAAGGATGATGCAAGTGAAAAGCGTGTTTTAGATCTGCATCCAGTGCATGCACAAGTATTCGCAATGACCGAGTGCAAAAATTCAATGGCACACAATGGTCGGTGTGTGGATGTGTGCATGTGCGGTGCAGCGCAGTGCGGAGAACGGGGACGGAAACATCTAATTTCAAATGACTATTGTATTTATATTGCAAAAGACCAATGACGCAATACAACGAAATAAAATCGTATTCAGTAGTTTTTGCTTGATAGTTTTTAGTACTGGAATGCTCTCACTCTCTATCTACCTCCCTACCTCCCTTTCGCTCTAATCTCCCTCGACAGAGAGCAAAGCTTATTCACATGGATAAACTAATCGAATACGTGGCACAACAACAACAAAATCAACAAACATACTACGAAACGCGCACAATGCTGAATATATTTTGGCGTTTTGTGTTTTTGAGCAAATGAAGCGCACACAGACACATTTGAGATTGTGATGATTGCGAAATTCATCAGAAACTGACAGTGGTGCTGCAGCAAATCCATATCCACATATTCATGCAACTCTCCCATTCGCTTTGAATTTGACAATTGATATTGAGCGCAAACATCACCTAGATAATCTAAGGCAATCAAGTAAACTCTCCGTTCTGTCAAACATCATATACTGAAGTATAACATACGGACATCACAAACTCGCCATAGGTTCTTTAGAGGGCGCTTCGGTCAACTGAATTCCAACCAAATACATGTATCAGTATACAAAGCATTCCATTGTTGCATTCATGCGAACGAATTAAATAGAGGGACATAAGAAAGGTTGAGCCCGAAAATCATTATTATTCTATTGGAAATGTATCTGGTTTGAGCGGAATGGAAAAAGCTTTCGTTTATTTTGATTGGTATTGAAGTTGAAAATCATTGTCTCTATTTCTCTATCTCTACCTCCCTCGCTCCCTTTACATGGCAGAGGAAAATTTTCAGCGATTGTATATGAAAATGTTTCGTATGATGGTGAAAAACCAAACAAATCTCGAATCCCCAAAACGACATCAGTCACTTCATAAATAACCCCATTATTCGATAGATACGTGCGGTTTTCTGCTGTTGCCATTTCATCGAAAAGGACACATTTCAACGGGACACATTCTGTGAATGTTTTTGATAGAAAAGTTTTGTGTACGGTTTTTTCTTCTTGACTTTTTCCAGGGAGAATATCTTATTTCACTTTTCGCTGTTTCATTTTTCGTGCCAGCGAAATGTGTCGAGACCAAATAGACGACGGTTGATGGGAAAAAGTGAAATTCGAGATGTGGTTTCACTTGTGAAGAGTATGTTTTCGCTATTGAATGCGGAGCATGCAAAGAATTTTGGTGCGAGTGTATCTTGTATTCAATGGAATGCAAGACTTCTTCTTACTTTACCGTACGAAAAAGTGATATTTTGTTGCTTTGATCTGGATGTAATGGCCTTTCAATCAAATGCACGCGTTTCACCGAACATAACTTGAAAATATGTCCGTTCACGAAATGGCCGATGGGAAAAAACGCGTTCATTTTTTTTTCTTTACTCGTTTATTCGTTGTTCTTTGCAATCAAAATGGTGGAAAGTCTGCAATCGAACAATTGAAAACGACAATTTTTCCTATATGTACTACACCAGACCGAAAACCGTTGCGCTCGTTAAAACATGCCCTTGAGGCGCTCAATCAAGCTACCATACACACATATATCTCTGGCAGTATGCTTCTGCTCTTACCAATTCGTTTTTTTTCATTTTGGATCGAGAGAACAGCGAAATTTTTTCTCTCTGCTTGTTGTTCGATATTCTTTTCACTGTTCTAGTATAGCATTTAAGCGTTGAAAAAAAAGTCGAAAGAAAGAAAAAAAAGCATGTACATGTACATGTACACAACACGTCATCCCGATTGGTCTGTGTGTATTTATGAGAGTGTGTGTATGGTGTGTTCTTGATGTGTTCGCTAATATCAGTGAACCGGAGACAAATCAGCTTAAAGCAAAAAAAAAAAAGAATCAATAAATTTGCGCTTCCAAGGGTAACAAATTTTTGCACAATTTTACACGGGCGTTTGTTTGAACATTCGGCCAAGTGGAAGCAAATATCCCCGACACATTTCACTCTGTATTGAAATGAGCTCTCGATGATTCAATGCACCAATAAGCGAATTAGGGAATGATGAGAACGACATGGCATGGGAAAAAAAAAATCACTCTCACTTGCATATAGAGATACAGAGATAGAGCAACCTATACTTTTGGCCGGCGCAAGATAGTGGTGGCGCCTAAATAAGATGTATTAGCAATTTGCGGCATTTTTAAGAACTATCAATACTTGTTGTTGTTGTTGTCATGAATTTCGCAACAACAAGAAGTATTGATAGTTCCTAAACTTGCCGCAGACTCTATTAAGGCGCCACCGCTACTCACTGTCACGTCAAATACATTGGTTCTTATGGCAGAGAAACACAGGTTGAGA